CCAGCGCGTTCAGGGACCGTATGAAATTCATTTCTGACCTTCGTATTTGACCCTGAATATCCGGGAGAAGGTTGGCGTGTAGCAGGTCCAGTTGACCATCAGGCGTCATCTTAGGGTTCAGCCGATTCATCGGGCCCATCATATTAGCGACGTAGACGTTCACTGGTTCGTCTGGGCCCTGATATCGACTCTAAACCTCCTTCATTAAACGCTGCTGCTGCTGCACGCTGGTCCCAAACCATTCCCTCGCGTCTGCCTCGAAATCTGCGTAGGAGAGCCATTCATTCCTCATTGCCTCGTACCAGACGAGGGCAGGACCGACGAGTAGCTCGGATACGGCTAGGAGCATCTCGTCTTCCGTAAGTCCTGCGCTACTCCTCGAGTTGCCCAGCCTTGACAAGAAGGTGTCGATGCTCGCATTGCCCTCTCCAGAGAACCTGAGTTTCCATCCTCGGACAATGCGACCGACGTCCCTTGTTGACGACCACAGGTTTGACATCTGTTGGGATGACCACGTGCTCGGCGGGTGGTTGTCCACTTCAGCATTAACTCCACTGAGTTGATGCTGTCCACCCTCTCCGAAAGGGAGCGTCCGGCGGGGGGTCCTGCCGGTGGCCCCCGTGGGCCTCTGTCCGGGTCTAGCTGGGGTACTCTGGGGTAGCCTGGTGTCGTAATGGCATGTGAAGGTGTCCTGGAATGCTACGCTCCTACGCGTGTTCTCCTGTTGCCGCGCTTCGTTGGATATATTCGCATCGTCTTGCCGTATATTTCTGTTTTCGGCGTTTTCTAATGCGCTGATCCTGTCGGATTGATTGTCCAGTTGGTCCTTCACATTGCTGCTGTTGCTGAGGATTTGGTCTAATACTTTTGTTAGACTCAACATATTCAATCCCAGTGAGTCTAGCAGCTCCAGTTTCTTCTCATTTTCTCTGGACCGGAAAATGAGGTCTTGGATCATCACCGTGAATGCCGGCGGGAGTTGGAACTGGCTGCCATCCTCAGCCGTTATAGTAATACAGTTATTACTGTTCGTGTTCTCGCCGCTGTCCATGACATTTGCGATGTTTATCGCGGTTTTCTGTACTCGCGATATTACCTCCGCACTCTGCATCAGCTGGGCTAGCGGGTGTTCTCCCTCTTGCTCGGATGCTGTGTGTTCCGCGCATAGGGATACAATCAGTTCCGAGCGTAGGGCAGCTCTTCTTGCTGGATTGCTATGCTGGTTGCCGACTTCCGCGAAATCTGCTGCGGAGTAGTCGCCAAGCAACCAGTTATGCAGTCGTGCAGCTCTCGAGAGCTTGTTCCCGCTTGTTTTGAGTTCCAGGTGTTCGAGGTACTCATAGATTTCCTCCTCCTGGAGCGTCTATACCCAGTTTTCTATTTCTGTCTGAGTGCGGTCCATTTTGTTCTGTTAGTTGTTTGCGGCTTGTTTCAGGCGAAATTTACACGCTTGTTACGCATGGTGCGAGTGCGAGTGCTGTTTTACAACAAAAAAATGGTACGCAAGTAAAAAAAATTTTTATCGGCCGACAGTAGGCTCAATCAAGGGCGTTTAACAACGTATTTGCCGAAAGACTCTTCGCTCGTTATTACGCAATATACTGATCCTGCCTATCAGACGCACTAACTGTTTGTTAGCGCGGTTGTTTTGGTTAGTATCTAAAATATTTTAACGAGCGTTGCGCGTAGTCACCAATAACCGCAGCTAATAATATTAAAAAAAACGTTTACTTTAAGACAAGACAATATCAAATAAAATTATCAAATTGAATTAATTTCGTTTGAAAGTTGCTGGTGTTAGTTTTCCCCGGGTAGCTGGATCTCCACTGGTTCATTTTCAATCGCGCGCATTCCGTCTGCTCGCATGCCGAATTCTGTTGTCACATTTTTCGTCTCCCGGTAAGTGCTGCCCCCGCAGGCAGCTACTAGGTTAGGTGATTAGCGTTAATTTGACGTTTACCGTCACAGATTATATTGATTACCTTTATTTTTAACGGTAGAAAAAGGAGAATCGATTACTGGTCTCAAAACACTTTACTTTCGCTTGATCCTATAGTAAATGCTATGACATAAGATGAATTTTTAGAACTGAAACGTTTCATAAAATACTCCAAAACTTAAGATAAGAATTTAGAAGATAAAATATGGAGAGTAAGGGCTATCACTAATATATTTAGAAGTAATATAACAAAAAATTTAGTTATTTTTTATTAAATATATCAGTAGATGAAAGTATAATTAAATTTTTCGGTAGATATTAGAGAGATTAACCAATATATAAAAGATAAACCCACACCTTGGGAAATAAAATTACAGTATTTATATACACCATCTGGATATTTGTTGAATTTTCAAATTTACTGTGGAAGAGAAATAAAAAAGTAATGAAGATCTAAGTGTTTGTAATCTTGGATCCAGAGTAGATATAAAAATGCTAGAATATTTTTTAGAAACAGTTGCTATTGGTGAGTTAAAACAATATTATGTACTTTCGATAACTTTTTTACAAGTCCAGATTTGTTGGTATACCTTCAGAAACTAAAAATAAGAGCAACTAGTACAGTTAGACAAGTTCATGTTTATGAAATGAATACCATAAATAAGAAACAAAAGTTTTCCAGTAATTATTGAGCTAAATAAGAAATGTAATCGAGGTTCTTATTAAGTAAAACATGATCAAAATGGTAGCTTAAATTATATCTCTCTTAAAGATTCAAAAGTTAGATATTGCAATGTTTTATTTGAGAAAAGCATCCAAGACAAAGTTTTCTTCTCACTAATTAATCAATAGTTCTATTCGAAAGCAGTCATATCTGCTGCAACGGTAGTCGATTCAATTAATCGATCCGTTCGCAATTCTGTTCCTCGCGCGTTAGTTCGAACAATTAAGAGAGAGAGAGGGGGCGCGCGAGCATTTGAATAAATAGTTACGCCTCAGCGGTTTACGCGACATTACCGCCAAATCTATTTTTGCATTGTGTTTCGCCGATATTAAAGTTTTTTGGGATAATTTTACGTGCGAAAGTGCAACGGAGTGATCGCAGCAATAGGAAGCAGCGGCACAGATTAGCAGCAGAAAATTGCAGGCAATAGGAGAGCGAGGCAGCACAGCAGATTGAGTGGAGGAGCAGCGGCAGTTGATTTACTACATCAACAATTACGGTTGATCACCATAATTACACCACAGGGTTGGTGCACCTCCCGTTATTATTGCGTGACAAAATACATTCGGTATTTTGTCAACCGTGATAGCGATTTTTTTTGTATTCGCGCCAAGCGTTAGTTTCGCGGCAAATTTCGAATCTTCTCTCTCTCTCTCTCTCTCTCTCTCTCTCACCGAATAATAATTCATTATAAAATCCTATTCTCGTGCGTTAGTCTTTCGGCCCATAAAAAACTGTAATTATTTTTACTAATTAAAGTTAGTCAATTTCATTCGCCGATTACGTCATTTAATTTCCCATTAGCTTAAGCGATTTGTAAAAGGCTTAGGTTTTAATTCGATTACATCTAGGAGATTAAGCGGATTAGGCGTAAAGTCGCCCACATCTAAGATACATCGAGTGTCACAAGTCACGTGACTTAAGGTGAGTTCATCTCCGTTGGATAGATAAGAGAAATCATCTGACGTAAAGGCGAATACACGTATCACTATACGTGTTCAACGGAGTGGCGGTTAGCTCTGCATCGTGGGAGTTTATGCTTCAATAAATTTCCGATTTTTTTCTGATAATCTCCCCCGTTACACTGCATTAAAAAAATAAAATCGTATAGGTTTCATTGTAATGAACATATAAGCTCAACGTGTTTTACTGATTTTCATCATAGCAATTATTATGAGCTCATTAGAACTGATAAGAAAAAGATCTAGTTTATTAAAAATTGTATAAATACACACATGAATACTGTAAAAAACGCGAAAAATATTTATGAAAAAACTGCTTTGGAAATATCCATGAGAAAAAGTAAGATAATTGAAAAAAAAATTGCGAATAGCCATTATAATCATGATCAAACCTTCATAAATAGCCCTTCTCAGGTCTCATGATGTGCTAAATTCGTTCGAGCAACCTCTTCGTAGTGCACATTGGGTAAAACTAATGCCGACAGTATGCTAATAAAAAAAAATTCTAATAGTAGCACCCTATTTTTATGAAAGAAAATAATTTTGTCTTCGATATTCGACAAAATTTCACTCTTAACTTGAACCCAAACCCTTACTTGCTACCTCTTGTAGAAGGATGGTATACAAAATTGGAACTTAAAAATTAATTGAGCACTCCCCGAAAACCCAATGGTATCCTGTTTGACTGCGAAAAAAATAATATTTTTTCATATATTCTTATCTGTAAATCGTACATTTGGATATATCTATCAATATTTTTGATAAAAAATCATTTTTACAGTAATATCCATAAAGATTATGGTGTTTACAGCAACAAATTCACTTTACAGATACTTGGAATATTCAAGAGTAAATACTACTCCTTTATAATGGCTGAAACTCTTTTCTAAAGAATCGTAAGGTCAATTTGATCTCAGCAACCGATAGTGTAGCTAGAATTACTTATAGCAACAAAATTTTATTTTCGTTTTCGATCTTGTTTTTTTCTAATCCTATCGGAAATATCGAGTGTCCAAAAATATCCGCTTAGGCACTAATGGTTTAGGTTAATTCAAAACTTGATTTTTCTATGAGCTATTAATATAATATTCGCAATTATTATGATAAGCTTGATCACATCCGATGATTCATTTTTCTTGGTCATCGATTATGAAATTTACTCGATCCTTGTAGCGCGAAATATATATAGGAAAAAATTATACCACTACTTTTTGATTTTTTTGTGCATATCAAGCGATTTTTGCTCTCATTTATTTATTTAGCCACAATTTATCTTTGTACACTATCATAATCAATAAATTGTTAATGAATTATTTCGTAATATTTTAAATGCTGTATCTAAAGAATAATTAAAATAAAATACTATATTTTTCAGAACCAGCATGGCATAAGTTCTTCTATCAATCAGCAGTCAATAACAAAACGGGAAATGACTTTTCCAGTGGAGAGTATAGAAGCAGTTTCTCCATTATTATATAAGCGGAGAAAGATATCCCGTACTGATGTAGCTCCTGTAGAAGCATGGAGAATTATGATGGCACTAAGATCCGGTCTATTAGCAGAAAGTTGTTGGGCTTTGGATGTATTAAATATTCTTTTGTTTGATGATACCTCAATTCATTATTTTGGATTAACTCATTTACCAGGATTATTAGATATTTTATTAGAACATTTTTCTCGTTCACTATCTGATATGTTTGATTCTACATTAATCGAAAAAAATCGATTTTATGAGCGGCAAATAAGTAATTTAAAAATTGATCTTGGAGCAGTTACTAATTCAATCAGGCCAGAAGATTGCATTAAACTGATTTCTTGCTCTAATTATACTTTATTAACCAGAAAAGGAAGATCAGTAAAATTTGTCCCTCGAGATGATGACATATTTATACTGGACGATCAGCGGGCTTGGGATATTGAATATACTGAATCAGATGTAGAACCTTGGCAGATTGACAGTAAAACTATAAACTATATAGTTACTTGTTTCGAAACTGAAGTAAGAAATATTTCATTCTCAAACTATTCAAATGAAGAAACTAATATTATACAAAAAAAATTATCTAAAGAACAAAAAGATGATTTTGGAAAGAACGAAATGGACATAAACAAACATATTGAAGCATGCAACAATAATTCTCACGACGTAGTTACATTTGGCTTTACGTCTGTTGATGATAAGCATAAATGCATTGAACCCAGACAACTATTAGATAAAAAAAAGAAATCGAAAACCTTAAGTGATGTATTATTAAGAATTAAAAAGGTACCAATTGAAATGAGTGAGATTACAAAAGAACTTTTTGAGAAAAAACATGATAATACTAAAAAAGATATTATTATAATGTCTCCAAATTCCATTTATACTGATCAATCAAATAAAAGTCCATCGTCTTACAACAATGGAATATTTTCTTCTAGTCCTCAAATTGATACAGGATCTACCAAATCGTTCATGTACAATCAAACAGAAAATAAAAAAGTTATTATTCCAGCTCAATCTGAGGATCAGACTATAAAGTCACAAACTTTTAGAAATAACTTATTTTCAAAAATAAGTAAAGACTATATTGTTACAGAAGATGAAATCAAATTAAAGATAAAAGACCCATCTGGAACTTTGAAAAGAAGAAATATAAGTGATTATGAAGATGAAAGCTATTCACGCGATGAAGCCAGTTTATATCTCATTACTGAAACGCAAGATAATTTAGCTCGTCGATGCGTATGTCTTTCAACAATTTTGAGAAATTTGACATTTATTCCTGGAAATGAAACTGAATTCGCAAAAAATATTACATTTCTTAGTTTATTAGGAAAACTTCTTTTACTTTATCATGATCATCCAGTGCGTACACAAAAAACGCGTAACTATGATCGTGAGGAAGACGCAGATTTTGTAGATTCGTGCAGCAGTTTACAAGGTGAAACTGAATGGTGGTGGGATTTTCTGTATCATATACGGGAAAATGTTTTGGTTATGGCAGCAAATATTGCTGGTCACATTGATTTAAGCCAATATTCAGAGGAAATATCCCGACCAGTCTTAGATGGACTTCTTCACTGGGCTGTTTGTCCTGCTGCTCATGGTCAAGATCCCTTTCCCACTGTTAATGTGAATTCATCTCTTTCACCTCAGAGATTGGCTCTAGAAGCTCTTTGTAAACTTTGTGTCACAGAGAGTAACGTGGATCTTGTGGTTGCAACGCCACCTTTTTCAAGACTTCAAAAACTGTGTTCGGTATTATCACGGCTGCTTTGTCGAAGTGAAGAACAAGTACTCAGAGAATTTGGTGTAAATTTATTACACTTTCTTTCAGCAGCGGACAGTGGAGTAGCCCGTACTATTGCTTTACAAACTCCCTGCATAGCTTTATTAGTTGCTTTTATCGAACAAGCAGAAAATAATGCTTTAACTGTAGCAAATCAACATGGAATAGCAGCTTTACGAGAAAATCCTGAGTCTATGGGCACAAGTTTAGACATGTTAAGACGCGCTGCTGGAACATTATTGCATCTTTCAAGACACCCAGATAATAAAGCATTATTACTTCAACATGAATCTCGCCTTTTGGCACTTGTTATGAGTCAAATTTTAGATCAACAAGTTGCAGCTATTGTAGCTAGAGTACTTTTTCAATGTTCTCGTGCAACAACTTAATTATTTACTTCTCAATTATATAAAAATTATTAGATGATTAGGCTTGGAACTTTATTAATTCCATTATACTGGCACAATGAGTATTACCTATTTGTAATTTTGCAATGGCCAAGAGTTAAAAAATGGCATACAATGTTATTATCGAAGCAAATGTACAATATTGCTTATCCACTATAGGACTACTTGCTATATGTGCGTTATATACATAAGTTATGAATAAAAATAACTTTCTTGATCATTTCATATTAATAACTTATCATGAACATAATATGAGTTATAGAAAACTTATTGCTCTTGGCAATATTTATGTATAATTATTGTATTTATAAAATTCATAATAAGATAAAATACGTCAAATGGATACTCCAATTTTAAGCTCAAGCAATTTTTATAAATGAATGCGTCAATCGATTTTTTCCTCAAACCCAAAGATGTAAACGATAGATTTCAAGTAAAATTTTTTGTTTGAATAAATACGGCAACTGATACCATGACGCAAATTAGGGGGCATCACTAGTACCCTTTTCTCAGCGTGAGCAGTACTTTATTTGTTGAATTTTATAACCTTCAAGGGCTTCGCCGTAATTTCTGTTGGTAATGATTAACATAAATCAAAATATATAAATATATATATACTCGTGGGGCTACGCTCGCCAACCCCCATAATTGTAAAAGTTTATTTACAGGATAATATTTTTTTGAAGTAAATTTTATTATATCATTTTAAAAACTCATATACAGGGTGTCCCACTTTACAGTCTTGGAAGGTCTTTGATATTATGTGACATTGACTTTGACCTTGAAAATGATCCTCAAAACGACTAACTTTTGTTTGAAACGTTTTTCTCTTTTTCTTTTATAGTTTTAGACATTCCGGTGCGTAAGGTAAAATGAGACACACCCTATATCTATAATTTACATATAATTCACATATAATTATAATTTATAATAATTATTGATTTTTAAGTGTCATCAACACGACATAGTGGTATCATAGAATATCATGTAGAATAACCACTTAGAGTCAAAGGAATGTATCAAATGGTATTATCTAATATTTTATTCAAAATATAACATTTATGCATTAAATATAGTATTATTTTATAGAATGTACATAAATGACATAGTTTTTTATGTCAAATTCTTGACATGTTGGTGTCATTTTAGACATAGTGGTAATATACGAGTACGTACGAGGTGTGTTCAAAAAGTAAGGTGACTTTGTATTTTTAAGAAAAAATAATTATTTATTTATCAATATTTATGTTGTCCCCTTCACAGTAATCCCCCTCAGATACAATACACTTATGTCAACGGTTTTTCCAATCCTCAAAGCACTTCTCATAAGCACTTTTCAGTATAGCCTTGAGCTCTTCCAGCGATGCAGTCTATCTCTTCAATCGTTGCAAATCTCCGTCCTTTCATAGGTCTCTTTAGTTTTCGGAACAAGAAAAAGTCACATGGGGCCAAATCCGGTGAATATGGTGGCTAAGGCATGATTGTGGTGTTGTTTTTGGCCAAAAAATCTCTCACAAGCAAAGATAAGTGAGCAGGGGCATTATCGTGATGCAAAAGCCATGAATTGTTTTTCCACAATTCTGGGCGTTTTCTTCGTATTGCTTCTCGCAAACGGTGCATAACTTCAAGATAATACTGTTTATTGACCGTACGTCCATATGGTAAGAACTCCTGATGCACCACGCCATGGTAATCGAAGAAAACAGTGAGCAAAACTTTGACATTTGATCGAAGTTGGCGTGCTTTTTCGGTCTTGGCTTATCTGGGCTCTTCCATTGGGACGATTGGACTTTGATTTCGATATCATAACCATATACCTATGATTCGTCACCAGTTATGACCCTTTTGAGTAAATCTGGGACGTCGTTGACGTCATTCAACAGTTCTTGAGCGATGCTCATGCGACGGTTCTTTTGGTCAAAATTTAGCAATTTCGGAACAAACTTCGCTGACACACGTCTCATGCCCAAAACGTTAGAAAATATTTCATAGCACGAGCCAAGCGGTATACCAACATCCTCAGCAACTTCTCTGATATCAGCAACTTCGACGATTTTCCAGAACAATTTTCTTCACTGCTTGAACGTTTTCATCAGTTGTTGACGTGCTTGGGCGTCCAGAGCGAGGCTCGTCATTGGCATCTTCCCGGCCATCTTGGAAGAGTTTGTACTACTTGTAAACATTTTTTTTACTCGCGGATCTCTACCGAAGACGGGACTGTCAGCGTCCAGACCAAGCTCTCATCTATAAAGAGCCTCCAACCGTCGTCGACCGGACGCTCGCGCATGACCATGTAACGAAAGCTCGTTCGTTATCAGTTTTGAAGGTGGGTAAGTGAGGTGCACTAGCTCATAGCAATTGAGGCGGGAACGGGGGGAAAGACAAAGAAATCAAAGTGGTTAGGGAATTATACACAAAACACAAACTCGCATTTAAACAAATCTAATTCCAATCAAATTACACTTGGATTTCAAAACCGTAGTTGAATAACCGCATAATAATAAACCGCATTATAAAATGAACTCTTATAATCCACTTTACAAACTCTTAACCTAATAAACACAATGGTGTCGCGAACACGTCTTAACACTATAGAACAATAGGGAACAAAGAACAAGTTAACTAACTAATCGCGCTTACAAATCTATACGAAACACAACGCGCGTCGCTCGGCAGATGACCGCCTTGACGACTTAAGCTACTTAGCTAAAAGAGAAAGTCGCCCGGCGAGGGATCGCTTGGACGATTTCTATTTGAGCGATTTATGACGCCGACCGTAATTAGAGCAGGTAGCCGGCGTGTGCACGCCTTGCTACCTACCTAACGTTTACGATTACGTGCTGTGCCATATCGCAAAAGAGAGAGAGAGAGAGAGAGAGAGAGAGAGAAATTAACTTGCGAGACTTGACCTTCGATACTGGAACGGGAGGCCTGGCTGCGCCCTGCGCTCGATGTTGCTAGCCGTCGCTGGGCAATTCCTGCCGGCTCCTCCGGGTAGCGTTCCGAGCAGATGCTAGAACAAGGCAGTCGTCCTCTATCCTCTCGGTTCTCCTCGGCCCTTGGCGGCGTGTGCGTTCGGCTGACCCTTCATCTTCAACTGCACTTTTCGACTTTTTTACCTCTGGCCATCTACCGTCTTACTCACTGCTCGACTCATTACCGTCTGTCTTCCGATCGGCTGGAAAACCTTCTGACTGGCCGTTCGACTTACTACCGTCTGTGTCGTTCGTTTTCTCTCCACGATCGACAGCTTCTTCCTCGTTCTTTTTCTCTCCCCACTTGACCTACTTATTAGGCGGCACGTGATCAATGCGTTAATTGGTTCGCGACGTGCGCCTGCCTAATCTTGCATAGGGCACGCACGCCCCCAACTCTCTCTCTCTCTTTCTAACATCTCTAAACTATCGTCAGCGTAACAGCTTCGGCCCTGTTCGGCCTCGCTCGGCAATCTCCGTCGGCTGAAACAAAGACCATGCATTAGGCGCATTCTTAAATGCGCCTAACGCTGATCACCATGTCTTGCCGAGAGAGAGGGGGGAATTGAGGAAAATACCGACGAGAATAAGCGCAGCGCTTGCCCTCGTCATAACCATGTCGCATCTGGAACTACGCGCAGCGCTTATCGTATCCCAATTGCTGACTGACACCGCTTCTACTCTGTGGGTCCCCGTTTCAGCTTGTCATCTCTGGAGCGACTCCCGTATCGCTCAGTCTTCAGTCTGACGAGCCAGTGGGAAACGACTTGATGGACAACTGTGTTGCTCATGTCCCAGAATTGACTTCTGGAGCGACGCTACATCACGTGCTTACTGATCAGAACCCTGCGGACATCGCTTCAAGGGGCATTGGTTCAGACTTCCTCAAGGACCTCTTTGGTGGACCAGACCCAGCTGGATTTCCAACCTTCAGGCCAACTAACCCCAGATTTCTCCCTCCATTGACCAATCACTCGCCACCACATCGCTCGCTCGACGCCGAATCCCAGTCTACCCAGAAGGACCGGGATCTTCGTCTCTTCAAGAACTTCTGAACGCTTGGAGGCCTTCTCCGTGGTACAATGAGAGCTCGGTACCCGTTAACCGGCTCAAATCCAGAACAGTCAAGGCCACTGGAACCAGTGAGAACCCTCGACCTTAGTTGGGCGTTCCTGATATGCGTCCGTCTTTCGCAACATCAGACTTTTGCCGCCACGATCAAGATGCTCCAGGGATCTACATACCGACTCCCTATTGCGCTACGAGCGCTCGAGACCTTCCTTGACGACAAAGGACTGATGCGAGTTGGCGGGCGGCTCTCACAATGTCTACTGCCTTTTGATGAGCACCAACCAGTTCTCTTAAATGGACGCTCACATTTCGTGGAGCTCGTTCTTCGATGGGCCCTCAGTCGAAGTCTGCACTAGAGTTTCCGTGCAACCTACGCCAGAGCCCTGTAAAGGGTTTTGATTACTGGAGGCAAGACGCGCATAAAGCGCCATATCCACCAGTGTCTAGTCTACGTCCGGATTTCTGCGAAGACAGCCACTCAGAGAAAGGCCTCTCTTGCAGCTGTAAAAGTGACTCCCTCTTGGCCCTTCAGTCACTACGGAGTAGACTACGCCGGCCCATTCCCTCGTTGCCGGAGCCAAGGACGGGGGTTACCCACCCTTAAGGGATACGTGTGGCGCTCTCTGTATGCATGAGAACGAAAGCGACCCACTTAGAGCTCATCGACGACCTGACCACCGCCATCTTGGTAGGTGGCCTCACATGCTTATTTTAATCGGGAGGAGAGGGTGCCCCAACGAGATCTAGAGCGACAACGGCACTAACTTCCGCGGTACCAGTCTAGAGTTCCGATGGTTGCTACGTGAAGCCGAAATCGACTAGGGGCTGGTGCAAGACCATAGAGGGAGCGCTAGTGCAAGACGGCGTCTCTCGGAAGTTCATCCCCCCGGCAGCTCTCCACTTTGGCGGCCTCCGGGAGGCCGGCGTGAAGAGCATGAAGGCCCACCTTTCTCGAGTCGCTGCTCTCCGACGTCTCACATATGAGAAGTTTTAAAAGCTCCTTGTTTCCATCGAGGCTACGTAGAACAGCCGACCACTCGATCTGTCTACAGGAGGCCTCTGCGACCTAGACGCCTTAATGCCGAGCTACTTTCTCATTGGCACATTCGCCACCTCCATTCCCCAACCACACTCGGAAGCAGCCCGCTTGGAGCGAGCCCAGCACTGATAGCTCGTCCAGGCCATGGAGGATCATTTTTGGGACCGCTGGAGCCGTGAGTACCTCAATACTTTGTGCCAGCGACCCAAGTGGAGGACAGCCCAGCCGAATCTCCAGATCACTAATCTGGTCGTTACCACGGACCACTTGCTTTTGCGCCGAGACGGAAGGTGGACCCTCGGCTGCAT